AAAAAAAAAAGATTTTTAAAAAATATATGTCAAACACAATCTGCACAATTAGCTGTTTTTCCTTTCTCTGAACATTTTCAAAATTCTGTGCACTTTTGTCTATCCTTTATCGTGCTCACTTCATTTTCAACTATGCCTTTATTGTTAACTATTTTACACATATTACTTGACACATTAAATGTATTTTAGTAATCAACCACAGATATGTCTACATAGCTCCAAATAACTGCACAAAGATCTGAGCTTGGACAGCCTGATGCAACAGGGATCACAAGATCTAGACTCAAGACTGGGAAGCAAACTACCAAATATGTGATTAAAATACACATCCTATTCCAATACTACTCAGCAATGAAACTAAGCAAACTATTGACACAATGCAATAACTTAGGATGTCAAGGGCATTAGGCTAAATGAAAAAAGCCGATCTTGGGGCACGTGAGTGGCTCAGTCAGTTAAGCCTCCGACTCTTCATTTCGGCTCAGGTCATGATCTCACAGCCGGTGAGATGGATCCCCATGTCAGGCTTTGTGCTGACAGTACAGAGACTGCTTGGGATTCTCTCTCTTCCTCTCTCTCTGCCCTTCCCCTGCTCATTCTCTTTCTCCCTCTCTCTCTCTCAAAAATAAACATTTAAAAAAAAAAAGAAAAAAAGCCAATCTTGAAGGATAACATACTATATAATTCCACTTGTATAACCTTTCAAAATAACAAAATCATTGTGATAAAAAATTAGAGCAGTGGTTGCCAGAAAAACAGAAAATATGCAGTGCTACCATGAAAGATAACATTGCTGCCATTTGTAGTCACTCTATACATCTTCATTAATATTTTCTTAACTTGCAATGACTAAAAGCTATCAATATTACAGAAAAGAAATGGTAAAATAATGAGAGATTAATTTTCAAAATAATAAACTCTTCATTTATTTGCCAAGTAACTGCACTGAAATGATACAACATCTCCTTTCTCTTAAAAATAATTTACCCATCAGGGGCACCTAGGTGGCTCAGTTGGTTAAGCATCTGACTGTTGGTTTTGGCTCAAGTCATGACCTCATGGTTTCGTGAGTTCAAGCCCCACGTGGGCCTCTGCGCTGGCAGCACGAAGCTTGCTTGGGATTCTCACTCTCCGTCTCTCTGCCCCTCCCTCACTTGGCACGGTCTCTGCCTCTCTCAAAATAAATAAATAAACTTTAAAAAAATAATAATTTACCCGTCAATCTGACTAGACTAATAATGTTATAGTAAGACTCTGTAAATATATCCTTTATTATGTAGTAATTAGGCTTCACTGAATATCACTGACCTGTTAATATGACTAACTTTAAAATTATATACATTTGCAATACATCAAAATTAACTGTGACAAATAAGTTTGTATCTTACCTCTCCATAAGTATTTAGGTTGCTTTTTAAATAGCCTGTAAGTGCAGCAATTTGGCATGCAAAGTATGGCAGTGCCCAGTTTTCTCTTAAAGGAATGGAGTATTCAATTCTTGTTGTATCTACCCTAAAGTAAACCACAGATGAAGAGCAAAATATCAAGACATTATATTTATGTAACACTGTACTTTTTTCAAAGTACTTTCACACACATCTCATTGTTCTCTGTAACAATCCTGTGAGGTAGACATAGACAGAGCCACTACGGTCTATACAGCACCTGGAGCAAATTAAGCATCTCATTCAACCCCCCTTTCCTCCCTTCCAGGAAGACTCAGTGTGGTTGTACACTGCTTGGTGAATAGATGGGCAACTGTGAAAATCTGAAAAAGGCTTTCTGCTCTGAACAGATACGCCTCATGTTAAGGCACACAACTTGTAGAGGACACTAGATTTCAGCTCCTACCCTCTCTTCCCTTAATGAGATAGATGGCTACTCTTCTCTAGAATACAATCTGCATTACATAATTAGCAGGCCTGACAGGCCCAAGGTTCTTATCCTCCCTTATGTAAAGAATATGAAGTTCAGAGAGGTGATGTGACTTAATCAATGTCATATAGCTGGCACAACTGGGATTACAATGCATCTTCTGATAGCTACTTTAATAATCTTTTCAATCAGCAGTTCCCAGGAATTACCATTACAGTAATCCTTCACGTGATATATCCAGAAACCCTTAAATGCCGAATACAGAATGTCTTTCCAGGCTCTTCCTAGGTTTCTTCTCAATCTGCGCTACAGCATGTTGTCTCCTGGGCATATCCTCACACCTCAAGAGAATTACCTTTGCAACAATCACCAAATTTAGGACTCACGCTCAATGTTTTTTTTCTACACAGAAACAAAGGTGCTACTGCTTTAAAATTTTTGTGAAAATTGTTGTATTAATTCTCCTAAATAATAGAGGTGAATGTATTTGCATGTAAGTTAGTTCCATCAAACTGTGATATAGGATACTTCTTAGCAATGAAAAGGAATGAACTATTGATATGCCCAATATACATGAGTCTCAAAATAATTATGCTGAGTTAAAAAAAAAAAAAAGACCAAAAAGTATATGCTATATGACTTTATTAAGTAAAATTCTGGAAAATGAGGGGTGCCTGGATGGCTCAGTTAGGTGAGTGTCTGACTCTTCATTTCGGCTAAGATTGATCCCAGGGTCATGAGATTGAGCCCCACGTTGGGCTCCATGCTGAGTGTGGAGCCTGTTTGGGATTCCCTCTCTCTCTATGCCCCTCTCCCCCACTCTGGCTCTCTCTCTAAAATAAAAAAATAAAAATAAACTTAAAATTCTATAAAATGAAAACTATAGTGACAGAAAGCAGATTCCTGGTTTTCTGGGGACAATGGAACAGTTAGTAGAGGTGAGGTAAGAAGAAGAAAGAAGGAAGCATTACAGGGAGGCTCAAAGAAACTTTTGGAGGTGATAGGTATGTTTATTACATGGATTTTATTGATGGGTTCAAGAGTGTGTCTAAATGCCTGAACTGATCAAACTGTATACTTTAAATATGTACATTTTATGACAGTTATACCTCAGTAAAACAGTTAAAAAGTATTATAAGAAAACTTGTCTATGAATATATATGTGATTGAATACATATATATGAAAAAAACAGGATCATACATGAAGATCAAACAAAATAAAAGCTGTGAATATTAACTTAGCAGTATATCTACAGCTTAGTAAACGGTATTAGATCTTGGCTCTTTTATAATTCTGTAATGGACCACTTTTCACTTAATATCTAATGAGAATCTTTCCATAACATATGTATCAATAAATACAGTTCAAGAATATTTAATGGCCAGGACACATCATTGTATAGATTTATCATTAAAATAACCAATTTCTATTGTCATACACTTACATTGTTTCAGATCTTATCTTTTACAAAGAATTTTAAAACATGAACCAATGTTTCTGTATAGTGATTATTGGTTTCACTATTTACTTTTAACTCTAATCCATTTGGAATTTACTTTAGTATTGATGCAACAAGATTTCTTTTCCAGATGATTATTCCAATATCATTTACTGAATATCATGTATTTTAAAGACCATCTATTCTCATATAATATCATCTCTGAGAAATTATGAAAGTTAACTCTCTAAAGACAAATAAGAGATTCACGTGTCATAAGGCAGGACGTGGGGAGGAGGGAGAGGATATCTATCAGCCACTCCATCAGCCCAGAATTGGGAAGCTGGACCCAGCAGTCACCTTTCTGAAGGTTTACTCACTATGCCTGCCTAAATCACAGATCAGTACAGTGAAAATCTTTAAAACTCTGCACTGGAGAGGGGGAGCTGTTGCAACACAGACTGAGTAGGATCTCTGCCAGTTACCCTCTTCACCTACACAAGCCTCCCCACTGCTACCTTGCTGAACACCTGAGCTACTCTCTCTTGCCTTTACCATGTTTGGTCCTTGTGAGGAACAGAAGGCTAATAGTAGGAAGTAAGTGACTAAATCAGATGAGACCCACTTTTTCTCCCCCAGTGGCAGAGTCTAGAGCAGCACAAACCAGTAGTTTAAAATAATAACTAGTTAAATCACCTAGGATGCATAGGCCTATTGATACATTCACAGAAATCAGGAAGCCCTGGTTTCATTTTCAATTTTCTTTCTTTTTTTAAAGTAATCGCTACACCCAATGTAGGTCTTGAACTCATGACCCTGAGATTAAGAGTCACATGTTCCACCAACTGATCCAGCCAAGCACCCTTTGAATTTTCATTTTAGACACGTCATGGTATAAGCCTAATCTGGATTTCAGTACTCGCTTCCGTGTTTGTGTTAACAATGTAGTTGGCAATATAGCATTACTTCAATTGGCTTGAGTTAATTGGGGGGGGAGATGACTGTAATACTAAATGGTATACTGTCAAATAAAAACAAAACGATGTCATGATCACTATGGTAAAAAAAAAAAAAAAAAGATTCCATAGACAAGAGAGCAACATGATGAGAAGTGAGTCATCTCACAGTACCCAGCTGTGTAGGTTTACCATATTCAAAAGAACCTGCTGGAATGGTACCATATTTACACAGATAGTAGAAATCTGGTTTTAGCAAAATATCATTTTTTATGTTAAATTTATCTTTTCAGTTAATATTTTGCTGGCTCATTATTTCATTAATAGATTGGTTTCAGTTTTATTTATTTAAAAAAAAAATTTTTTACATTTATTTATTTTTGAGAAACAGAATGAGACAAAGCGTGAGCGGGGGAGGGGCAAAGAGACAAGGAGACACAGAATCTGAAGCAGGCTCCAAGCTGTGAGCAAGCGGTCAGCACAGAGCCTGATGTGGGGCTTGAACCCACAAACTGTGAGATCATGACCTGAGCTGAAGTCAGATGCTTAACCGACTGAGCCACCCAGGTACCCCGATTGGTTTCAGTTTTATAGTAGCATAAGTGCTTTTAAGTATATGGAGCATTACCTAGTTTTGTTTTATATGTAAGTAGCATTACAGAATTCAAATTATTTATGTCACTACATGGAATACATGAGAATTAAGTTTTAAATATACAGAACTGAAGTCCAAGAAATGCTGAGTTGGATAACATAGAAAACAGTTTGGTATGTCAATGTATAATGTGTGAAAGATGAAAAACATTTACACAGTATCAGTATAACTTCCAATGACAGCATATTGCCTTGCACTGATGTATTACAATTTACCTAACCATTCTCCTATATTTAGATGGTTTTCTAATTTTTCATGTTATTTCCCTCCTTTTCTGGATTACTGTCTTGTGATAAAATGGAATTCTTGGGGAAGACTACCACCTAAAATTTAAAAAGCTTATACCTCCATGAGCATTCTGAGTATACCAATACCATCACAACAGAACCAGCATCATGTGTTACCGTTATTTTCCGTTAGCTGTACCTCTACGTCATGGATATTTCCTTGCACCTAACCTCTTTATTATTACCAATGTACAATTACTTTTTTGGGGGCCAAAGACTAACTTTAACATACATTTTTTTTAAGGTTTATTTATTTTTGAGAGCGACAGAGCGTGAGTTGGGAGGGGTAGAGAGAGGAGACAGAATCCAAAGCAGGCTCCAAACTCTAAGCTGTCAGCGCAGAGCCAGATGCGGGGCTCGAACCCACAAACCACGAGATCATAACCTGAGCCGAAGTCGGACACTCAACTGACTGAACCACCCAGTAGTACACTTAATCCTACACATTTCTTCTTTGTTCTTCAAATATAAATATGTTTTCACTGAAAGTGATATCCAGGTATATATTTGTAGATGAGAAGATCAGTAGGACTCTTCCATATTGTTTATGTGTAAAGCCTGGTTTTGGTTACCCTATTTTGGTGATCACGTCTGTTAAGAGGGAGTCATTCGCCACTGAGTTTTCCCTCACTACTGTCTATACAGTGCTGTTTTCTAAAATTTCCTCAAATTTTCTAGTATGCCTACATTTTTTAGTTTTAGAATACTTCTTTTCCCTTCTGGTGTTAAGAAACAAGTAACACAAAATACAACTAAGAACACTACGAATAATCATAATATAATGGAATGACTAATACCTTTTTATACTTTTCTAGGTATTCATATATAAACTCTAAAGCTGCTGAATAAAAAAAAAGCAAGTTATCTTTCATAGCATTAAAATATATTTTCCAGTATAAAATATATATCAATAAAAAATGAATGAAATGCAAAACAAATAAAAGCTACTTGTTAAGAATATTTTAATTGCCAAAAGATACATTTTAGCAGAATATAGCACAAATTGTCTACCGAACTCCTGCTCTAGGTACCCAGGATACAATGTGTCATTAAATAAGGCAATTTCCTTACAATTCTCACTAAGAGCTCTAAAACACTCTTATTTGGGGGGCACCAGGGTGGTTCAGTCCACGCTGAGAGCACAGAGCCTGCTTGGGATTCTCTCTCTGCCCCTCCCCTGCTCGCTCTATCTCTCTCTCAAAATAAACAAATGAACTTTAAACATGTGGCAAGGAGTCTTTAATGCCATTATTTTTACAAGGAAAAATTGCCTGGGCTTCCCCTCTTCAAATTTTTGATG